TGATGAAAATCAGGGTACGCGACGTGCCGGAACGTGTTCGTGCCGTCGCGCCCCACATTACTTCCCCGCCAACAATATGTTCGAGTTTATTTGAATGTATTACCGTTATAGTATATGGTATATAGTGTACGATATATAATGTATGGTATACGATGTATGATATACGGTGTATGATATATGGTGTATAGAATTATTGCTAGTTCAGAGTGTCTAAAAAAAAAAAAAAAAATACGGTGCAAAAAAAAAAAAAACAAACGAAATATTAAATACGAAACAGATTTTTTTTTAATCGAAAAATAGAAAGAATCGATTGGATAATTTTTTTTTTAAAAAAAAAAAAAATCGACCAATAGAAAAACAAGAATGGATTCGGGACCACAAATACAAATTCGGGAAAGGTAAGACAAAAAAAATTAGAAACTTTGTGTTTTACTTTATAAACTGTCAAAGAAATTCGGTAATCCGCGAAATAATTCAGAAGTTAAATAAGAAGCTCTTTATTTTACCTTTGAATAGAATATACTTTAACTGGTCAGAACACTAGAATGTTTGGTAGTAATTACATACCAACAACTACCAAAATATTTGGTAGTTTGATTTTGAGCATGTCTTAATTACAGAACAAAGTAAGTTCTCAATGCAAATTTGACCACTCGAAGAATATTTGATGTATATAATGTTTCAATAAGTAAATATTTCAATTAATATTTTGTTTGAAGTTGCTCGGATTTTCAAATTACATGTCTTCTCCGCTGAATAAAACATATTTGGTTCAGGATTCATAAACACTGGAGATTTATTGATAGGGAAATTTGGTCCTCTGCAACTTCAATTTTCGATAATACTTTATATAATGAAGATGAAAATGATAGAGAAAGCGACACCGAAGATGGAATATCTTTTGGAATGGGAACGAAATTCTTGTTACAAGAGAATGAAGGTATGATTGATCAGTATTATTATTGGTAGATTACTTTTTAGGAATCATTGTTAGATTCTAGCTCATGAATCTTAAAATTTAATAGAAAATGAAATTACTCGATACTTGGTTAGAGCAAAGTTATATTGCATGGATCGGAAGCAACAATGGAAAGAACAAGGAGTTGAAATTTCGAAACTCAACTTTCAAAAAAATTATGAAAAATCCTCGCGGCTAGGTTAGAAAAATGAAATATATTTTTTATACGTATATTATAAAATAAAATAAAAATATATATTACAAGATATGTCATCTATATTAAAAAAATTTTTTTTTTCTTTTAGTGATGCGCATTGATGGTGTATTACGAGTAATTTTGAATGTTGCACTATTTCATGGTATGAATGTCGAAAGGTCACAAGAAAAATTTATAAGATTGTTCGCATTTGAAGAAAACAACAGCACACCTGTTCAATTCACTATTAAGGTTCATTGCGTTAATTCTATGGACAATCTCATTGATCACAAACACTGCTACTTAAGCGATTATTGCTTACCATTCTATTTATTTAGCTTCCTAATCCCAATGCAGCTAATGATATACAGAGCTATAATGGATGTAATACTGCCAGTCACCCGACAGATATCTTTTCATCAAATCGATGCCGTGGCCTCTCATGCTTGAGTAAAAAAAAAAAAATAATAATCATCAAGGATATCGCAGAGGTAGTACCTTGTTGTTTGACTCTATTCTTCTTTATAAAAAAAAAACAAATAATTCTTTTCTTTTTTGTATGCATATTTCTTCTTTCCTAGATACTGATTTATATCATGTAGGATATATACTTTTTTTCTTTTTCACTTAGAATCATATTTGGGGGAAGGTTAGTGTTCAGTTTGCATATTCATTAGATTTACATAAATGCACAAGTGATT